TCAGGGCATGGCAAATCGGATCTCATGAAGAACAAACGAGGCAAGATCGTGACAAAGTTGCAGAATGCCGCTGGCAAGAAGGCCTACAAGAACATCTCTGCCTGGACCATCGCTTGTCAGAAGGCCAGGAAGGAGCTGGGCATCAAGGGCTTCTGTGCTGTGGGTGGAAAGACAGCACAGGGCAAGGCACTCTACGCCAAGGCCAAAGCGATCTTTGCTGCATGAGATTCCAAAGTGAGGTCTAGCTTGCGTGGTAGTTCACGGAGCAAATGACCTGCTCATGATGCAGTTGTTGCTTGAGCTGAGCTGTATAGATTTTGCTGAGCTCTGACCGAACAGCAGAAACTGCAGACAGACCCCGTTTGCAGGATAGAAGGAAGCGCCGTCCTTGTAAGTATCTCATAGAAACATGTCGGATTTCGTCGTTCTGACCTGCCCAATCTCCTTGCTCCATCCGAATCTGCAGTCCAAGCAGTCGCTGATATGTGCTGGCCGGCGATGGCAAGGCCGGCCATGAAGCCAAACCATCTAAGGCCCTTTGTGCAGTTGACCGCGGGAAAACTCACCAAGCTACCATGAATCTCATTTGGCTGAAACATGGTGACACCGTGAGTCTTGACCAAGATTCAATATCTCACCCAAGGCACGTGTAGGCGTGCCTCGTTGTTTGACCAGGTTCACTTATATAATTGGGCAATCCATGATCATGGCACAGCCCAACTTCCCACCAGGATTGATCCGCGTGTTTGTCACTAACACATGGTTCTCTTTCAAGCTTTGGAAACCAAAAACAGAAGCCTCTGACTCTGAGTGATTGGTCGGTCTGATAGCCCCAAAGCAGACTCCGTTGGTGGTCGCCACGGTTGACCTGGGGAGCTCTCGACCGACGCCGGTAGGCTTGGCTTTCGAGGACGGGCTGCCCGTCCTTGAGGCGGCCGGCGCCAAGGCCGGTGTTCGCCAGACCTTGATGGAGGTACACCACGACCTTCCCCAGACCTTGCCGAATTGGGCAACTATGGCCCACTGTGTGAAGTGAGGGGCACCACATTTTGATACATTTCGATGCTTGCTTGCGGCAGGCAGAAGATGTGATCAGATCGGGGTATTGGTTTTTGTGGGCCAGCCATTCTGGGGTTCAAGCTTCTTTCAAACTTGATTCTGTCTACCCGCACCTCCACGGAACCTTGATGTTGAAAATTCAACTGATTGGTTGCCATTGAATTGAGTTTGATTCTGCACAATTTTGCATGGATTCTCTGTCGGACACCGTGCAGGGTGTCAAAGAGGTAGATGCCATGAAGGCTGGAGAGAAAGCCAGCAACGTTTGCTCAGATGTTCGCAGATTGGATGGCTACTATGCAGTACTCACTCTCATGTATGAAGCATGGACAATGGCAGGTTGTAAGCCTCATGTTGATGGCTCCTGCTGGAATCGATGGGACGGAAGAGGTGCCAAGCTGAAGCGCTCGTGGGTAACATCCCAGCTGCTGTAGCAATTCCCAGCTGTTCTTGCCTGTTTTGTTGTGAGTTCACATGATGAATAGCTTTGGTGCATCCGGCGTTAGAGTAGCGAAGCACACTGCGAGGTGTCACGCTGCGAAGCACAAGTCTCAGAGGTGCTGGGGAAGTTCATGGAAACATTTCAATGCACTTTATGCTTTGGTCGTCCAAACTCTTTGAACAACACTTTCCAATTGGGACACTTGAAACATTGGTGTTTTGGTCATCCGTCCGCACTTTGTGGACACCCGCGGCCCGACCATTTGCCATGCCTTGTTGACCAATCCCGCCCACTGCCTCCACACAATGCAGGCGCGTGGCATCGTGGACCAATTGCCAGCTGCCACGAGTGAAGAGACCCAAAAGGCTGGCAACACCATGCAGAAAAGAAGCACAGAAATACATTTTGTCCGGGCAGATGATCAAACGCCAACCAATATGACGAACAAAACGAAGGCCGGAAACAGCCGGGAAAACGTGATCAATCGCGTAGGCGGTGCAGCACCCCCCCGAAACAGAGGTTGTTTCGACGATTCGACCCGGTTCGTCCAAACCTGGAGGCAGCTCTGTTGGCCCAGGACCTGATAGTGAAAGCCTCAACGGTCGGACCCTCAGGTGAAGACACATGGCCTGTTGGCTTGTTGCCCCGTTCAGTGCAGTTCGGTCATGGCAGTCCTTGAAGGAAGAGCATCTAAAGTGGCACAAGATATGCAGTAGAAATTATAAATATGATTAACACAACTATAAACGGGTCTTACAACGTTTCTTGACTCGCTGAGGGTTTAGACAACTTGGATTTGGTGGGCGCTCAGCGAGAGTGCCTGGGACATGTGGTGCGAGCTTGGGGGCAACTTGTTCAATCTTTTTCACTGAGATGTAGAGGTGAAAAAGGGAAAACACGAGGGCAAGAGGAGTTTTTGGTCTTCTTTTTTTTCCCATGTGCACGTCGACACCCTAGCAGCTTCGATGCAGATTGGGGTGATGCAGGTCACTCTGTTCACGTCCCTCCACAGGTTAGTCCATTCCACAGGTTAACCGTACCAGATCTTTGGGATTTGACAACGAGCTTCGACCACTTTTGACCCTTCCGAGCTCAACTCAAGAGCGTTCCAATGGCCAGGCGCCGGCGAGAGCTTCTGGCGCAAATCGAGGTGATCATGTCTTTAAATGTAAAGAATTGCATTGAATCTCAGAAGGCAGCAGGTGAGGAGTCTTTTGTTTTCCTTCTTCTTGGTTCTTGGTGGGCCAGGCGCTGGAGAGAGCCTTGGAAGCCAAGAAAAGCGGGGCGTAGTCATGGAAAAAAGTGGTCTGGAGAGCGCCACAAGGCTTTGAGGTTTCGGGGTCAAGATCTCCATGTGTGTTTTCTGCGATAGACTGGACTGGATCGATTATGTCATACCCTTGTGCGTAGGCTCAAGTCTGCTGATACCTTTAGCCTTAGTGCTAATGCAGAGATGAGATGTTTCAAGCAAGCAGAAGGCAGGTACAAGACAGCATAAGGCCATGCAAAAAGACATCTTAATCATCTCAGCAGAGATGTTGTCGCATGTAAGTTCAGGTGCATTCCAAATAGAGAGTGGCACGATTTTGCAGGCGCCTTCTTGTTCTGATCTTCGCAGAGGCCGTTTGCAGTCGTGCCGTTCTTCACTTCTTAACTTCGCCTTTCTTGGCGGAGCGTGGCGGAGCAGTCGCCATGGCAGACGGTATGTCTCCTTTTGACTACCAGGATGAGTGGCCCGACAGCAGTGAAATGGGAACAAGGGAAGCGAGTACATCACAAGATGTGGTTTGATGCGTGCAAGTGAAAAGAAACGAGGCGAAACAGGTGAAGCTCGTGAATTCCATGGACTTGCTTTGTTCAATGGGCTTGCTTGTAAGCATCTCAAAAAGAAAAGGTTACAACTTAAGTTACAACAAGGAAAACTGCAGCAGAAGCACTTGGTCTTGGGGTCTTGCAGCCGAGGCACAGCAGCATACCCATCCTGGATTACTGGAGGCCTCGGTGTTGGGAGCGGACGAGCGGACGGGCGGTCTCTGCGCAGATGGCGTGCAGCGCCGCGCTCAGGTTTGACATTCCGCTGCGGAAAGACCAGGACATGATCTATTGGCCAACCGTGAACAGCATGGAATGGCCCTATGGCACCAAAGGACCTGTTCTGAACATCAGTCAATGGTCAGGTGAGAGGTTGCTGCCCATTCTGCGGCTCTGATGACTTGAGCTGTAGGATGCCGACTAGTTAAACAATGGAACAAATCCACATTGAGAGACACTCTTGCTGCATTGAGACAAATCCCCAAAGTCACTTGCAGTGCTGCAGTGCTTTGCCAGTGATCCTACCAGCAGCCAGCGGCCACCAGAGGCCACGTGGTTCAAATGGCCACATCCTTTGTAGTTCCAAGCCCATGGCTCTCGGCTGAAATTGCACTCAGGCTACTTGACTGACATAACCTGCGCGCTTCACCAATTGGTTCGTATAGCGGTGGCAATGCGATCTTCCACCAAGGGCGATTTGAGTGCCACTACAAGAGTTTCCAGATGTTTTCAGTGTTCACTTTTGGATCCAAAAGTGATCCCACCGATTCCACCTCTGTCGAGCTTCTAGGCCTTTGGAGCGCCACCGGGCGGCGGCCGCGGGCGTCAGCGCCGCTGCTCCGGTGCCCCGCGGCGCCGTCAACGCGACGGGGGCGCTGTTGACTGTTGCAGCGGTGCTGGGAGCGCGGCGATGGCAGCGGCTTCGTTTGCGGGTCGCTGGGTCGCAGGTGGTCCGGAGGGTGTGGCCTTTCAGAGCAAACGACCTAGATTGTCGTGATCGAACTGAGTGAAGGATCATAAAAACGTTTGACTTTGAGGCTGTTCCTGCACAAGGCGAAGATGGATCGAAAGGAAAGGTCCTTGAGGCCAGATGATGTGCTTCGCTTGTTCGGACGAGGATCAGTGTGTTTGCCTACAAGGCCCACAAGGCACATGAACAGTCTTGATGACTGCCTTATTTCGGATAGGTCACAAACGCACACAGGCTCATACATTCAAACTCATGAGGGTCGGCAAGTGTGTCTCTCAGACTTCTCATCGCATCTCCTTATCATGTTGAAATATTCCGTGAGCAGCTTGCCGACTTTTCACCTCGAATCCCCATCCCATCCTGGTTTCCTTTGCAGACCTCCCCTATCCCTCGTAATTAAGACCCTTTTTTGCTTGGGTCTGCAGGTGAGCGAGCCTTGGCAAATTTCCACGACTGCACAATTCGTTCATTCGTGATGATGGTTTCAATGCTTTGGCACACGACAAAACTCCAGACATTCACAGCAATCTTGGCCATGTGCGGCCATGTGGGGCTTTGGATTTGTGAGAAAGCCGGGAGGGTCAACGCTATTAGCCTCAAAAAGCTAGTAGTAACAAGTGCATCGCTAGTAGTAACAGGTGCCTTACTAGTAGTAACAAGAAGCTACTAGGAACAAGTGCCTCGCTAGTAGTAACAAGTGCCTCGCTAGTAGTAACAAGTGCCTTACTAATAGTGACAAGAAGCTATTAGAATCCATTTGGACATCACCGGCTACTTCGCACGCGTAGCGGCAGGTGCGAGCTGGACGGATCCGTCGCAAACCCTCAGACGAAGAAGAGAGTACCCAGGACTGAGTTCAGGTGACTGCGCTTTGAAGTAGAATTCTATGATTTTGCAACTGCATTGGGGGAATCCTAAGATCATTGTCAACTTTATTCTTCAATGCCAAGCCACACCACCATCCCCTTCGCCAGCAATGAGATTGGTTTTGTACTAGACAAGCTGTTCACAAGACGACCTCGCCCGAAGCAACGTTCCGCTGATATGAAGGACTGGTTTGATTTCGACCGTGATCTTGAAGGCCTCAAGACCATATTCTTGGGCAATCCTTTGAACGTCCTTTGGCCAAGCCCAAAAAATAACCTTGCTTCCGACGGTGTGTGTCTTGAAAGTGTCTTGCGCCTCCGGGTCTCCCACTCCAAAGCCGCTTGTTTGGGTATCCCGCATGGCCCGAATCTGTGGTTCATTGTTCCGCAAACTGCGTGGTCACACTCGGGGTTCCTACGGTAGTGGTTGAGGTGTTATTGAACACTGTTTGGTGTTTTCCCCGGATAGTTGTTTGTTTGATTTAAGACAGGTGTTTTTAATGGTGTACAGAGGGAGAGTGCCTTGCCAAGTCAAAATGGCGGGGTGAAGCCTCAAAGCCACCATGCTAGTGGCTCCCATAGGTCGATAATATATATACAGGTGCCACGCTAGTAGTAACAGGTGCCTTACTAGTAGTAACAAGAAGCTACTAGGAACAAGTGCCTTACTACTAGTAACAAGAAGCTAATATATATATATATATTATAGGTCGTTCATGTTTGCATTTCTCATCGGCCTTGTTGCAGTGGTTCCTGCATTCCGATACGTAGGGGACCGAAAGGCCAGTTCAGAACTGAGAACATGCCAGTTTTGATTCATTTGTCTCTCAATTCGTTCAAGTTCAAGGGACCTGACATGGCTTGTGATTTGAGGAAAGAGAAGGCCAGTTCCTGTGTCTCAGGTGATGCTTGTTTTTACTCCGCTTGGCCTAGCCTCGCAAAGTCTTGGCTGGGGCGAAGTGGCCACATTTGGACTCTGCTTTCTAGCGATCGTGCCCCTGGCGAAATTGTCCCTTGGACAACATGTGTTTTGCAAGTCTTTTTGATGCGCCCAGAACGTGACGTTGACGCACTTGCACGGAACGGTGCACGGACCAGCATTCTTTGCACGGAACACTTGCTCGTGGTCGTGCTCGTATCACGGCCTTCGGTGGAGCTGAGCATTCACTTCACCCACTGGGTGTGTGGTCGTGTTGCGGTTCTTTCTTTTTGGAATGTCCATTTCTTTCGGGCATAGGTTTTTCCAGAGACCTTTTCAAAAACCATCCACAGGTCTTTCTGGGTCACCGGTTTTTGTCGTGGAAGGTGACCGGTCATCGGCCCTTCATCCATCCCGAGCCGTCCCGAGGCTGGGCGAGGCGACCGAACAGCTGTCCTGCTCTGTGGGGCAAACTCTTGGAGGTTCCGACATGGCTGCTAAGAACAAACCGTTTGGATTGGTTTGCTATGTTTACTAGCCGGGCTAGGGATGAGTAAAGACTAGCAACCGCCTAACTGGAACTTCCAGTTGACGAAGGGCAATAGAATGTTTCAGAATTATGTTTCACAGATGACTGTTCTTTGGCTATTCTCTTCGCAACCCAATTTCTGCGACTTCTGTTTGTCTCGACTTGTGGCAGGTCTGCTGAACGCGACCTTTGGCAATGCTGTTGAAATGATCATATCTGTTTTCGCACTCCGCGAAGGGCTGACGGAGGCATCTTGGCCACGTCCAATTGCGATGAATCTCCCGATGGGATGACACCCCAAGACTCGACAACCAGTTCCCAAAGCAAAGGGGAACCTGTCCTGGGTCCTTGTTGAGTCGCTGATTGACCGAGGTCGTCAAAGGGAGCTTGGTTGGTAGCATTATTTCAAATTTGCTGCTGGTTCTTGGTTGCTAGGTTGCAGCAAGATTCTTTTCTTTTGCGGAATTCATGGCATGCTTGCTGGCCTGATTGATTGCTGGCTTGAGGAATGTGTTTTTTTCTTTGGGGGACTGAACTACCAGACTCAGCGCTTCAATGCGAATGGAGCACGGACTCAGTACTCCCTCCTCTTGCTGGCCATCTTGGCCCTCGTGGGAGACCCAGTGGTGGCGCCCCAAACTCTCAGGGATGGTGAAGCAACGATCGAAAAACATGGGTCTGCAGTTCAAACATACTGTATATATATATATAGATTCTTCTGTTAGATTGATACGATCTTGTTCTCGTTTTGAGATGTTCACAAAGGTGCAAGGTGTTGCCTTGGTTTGTCTCGCTTCACTATGGCAGTTTTCTCGCTTCACTATGGGCGTGTACTTGCGCTAGAGAGATCTTCATGCTGGAGTTTTGAGGTCATCCCCACTGTGGTGCTGCTCACGGGTGTTCGACCGGAGAGCGAGTTGCTGATCTCTAGAGGATGTGCTGCTTGGCACATTTACGAGCTAGGCATCCAGGTGTGCCCCTTGTACTTTATTTTGATTGAACATTGTGGAATAAAGAACTTGTGTTCTTGAAGGCTATCGTCCTTGCTGTGCTCTATATATGCTATTTGATCTTCCAACTGGTCACTCACAAGGCCAGACTGTCAGCTATGTATCAGCTGCGTATCAACCATAGCAGAGCGTCAAGCTCACCAGGTCGTGGTCAGATTCACCACGCTTCCTGAAGGCTTTCGAACTACCAGGTGTTGAAGGCTTCCCCATGAAGACCCCGGCTAGATCCCTTACATATATACCTAGGAGTTTGGGGTATGTATGCTTCTCCAGGTAACATACGTACTTCAAACTGGGCTGAATTAGAGGCCCCCTCGTGCTTTTGCTTTGAACTTTGAATTTGGAATTTTAGAGGTCCTTGCGCACACTGCTTGGCAGGATGAGTTTGCAGCGGCGGAAACGGAAGATGATTGCGAAGAGGAGGCGGATGATCTCAAGTCCTGTGTTTTATTTTGTCTTGCCTCCAACCCATTGTCGATCCAACTGTCGTGCCTCGGCCGACAGTTCCTTTGCTGACATGCTGAGACACTCTGTGGATGTGATAGGCTGAGCCGAGCTTATCCCCAGGGACTGCAGTGGCTTTGCTGGTGGCGGCCACGTTGCTGGTGGCGCCGCTCTCTGAGGCTCTCACAGGCGCAGTCCGGTGTGTAAAGGGACTGCTGAATGCTCCCCATTCGCTCCAACCCCTGAGTCAACTCCAACACTGCCACAATCGCAATACTTTTTGCAGTGCGTTGCAAAAGGGCAGGCCTGCTAGGCTGTTGACTTTTTGAAGACTCCGACACGCTAGATTCCTTTGCAGCGACGACCTACTGCAGTCACAAGATGCCATAAGTAGGGCTCTCTGCGGTTCTGCCCAGCAAAGGAAATGGCTTTTGTGTTGTTTTGACAATCATTGGCAATCAGGTTCCGTGGAAGGAGTGACGAAGACGTTGAATATCTCAGATGCCTTCGTGGGCGTGGTGTTGCTTCCCATTGTTTCATCCTGAGTTATGGGCGTGGTCAAGCAATGTGAAGCACCGAAAGGAGCCACTGTCGGGCCGACGAAACGACCCGAAACGACCCGAAACGAGGTGGGGAATGCAGCGGAACACCTGACGGCTGTCACCGTGGCGACGAAAGACAAGATGGATTTATCTCTGGGAGTGGCTCTCGGAAGCAGTACACAAATTGCGTTGTTCGTGGTACCCTTTACCGTGATCATCGGTTGGATCCTGGGCGTCCCGATGGATTTGAACTTCCGATCGCCGAGAGCTTAGCGGACCTGCGGGTTTCATGGAAGGGTTGGGGCCAGTCGCTCTCGGCTTTCGCTGGAGGCTGGACGTTTCCATCTTGCTCCTGACTGTTCTGCTGCTTGTCTCAGCACTTCTGAAAGCGTTTTTTTGTTCTCTTTCGTCGACTCAGTGACCCGGTCGGTGTGAAACACCTCATGTCTTCCAGCACCGCATTCTCAGAACAAGCGAGCACTGCCGATGTTTGTCGTCGAGTTGCACCAAGACCTCAACTCTTGAAGCCTTTCTCAGGATAGTTGGGAGCACCATCGTCGATGGTGAGTCGAACTGGCTAGAGGGTGCTGCACTCATGAGCGCATACATGCTCATAGCTGTGTCCCTTTGGTATTTGTAGGAATTCGATGCATTGCTAATTGCTATGCATGAATTTGGTGTCCAAAGAGTCTGCGTTCGGACTTAGACATGATGCTATCGATTAAAAGAGTGAAGGAAGAGACTCATTTCCCTTTCGGTCATCTTGCAGAATGGTGACAAAGCATGAGCTTGAGCCCCAAAGACCCTACATCCGCCCCATAGATTGAGGAGAGAGCACAGGTCTTCTGCTTCATAATCATGTGGAAGAGAACCGACACACACACACACACAAAGGTTCTTGGTAGTCGCCCAGAAACTTGACAGTTGGGAAGGTTGGAAGAGGCACTGTGAAACTCTTGAGAACAGTCAATCTATTGTCTTTGAGAATAGCAGGAATGCACATCTCGAAAGAAGCTGCACTACGGAATGGCAACCTGCAGAGACCTGAAGAGAGTGCGTTTTCGCTGTAAGTGCTGAGACATGAGACCTGAGACGTCAGGGTCGACAGTCAGGGGCGACCATCAGGATTGGGCTCGACCTTTTTGGCACGGAGCGAAAGATCCGAGATTATGCCAAGGCCTGCAGGAAGGGGGATTCAGTGGCAACAAGGGGGTGAATGAATGTTGATGTTGATGTTGATGTCTGATGTATGTTATAGCCACTCACTTCTAGACATTTTTTATTCTCAGAAGTCTTTGTTTTATGCAACAGGACGCATGAAATCCACACATCTTTGTTTCGAGAAGTCTAGTCTATGAGTTGTGTTGTCCTTGGTAGACGCGGAATGCCCACGTCATCGGCGATGGCATCGTGGCCTTTCCTCCGTGCTCTCCGTTGGGGTTCCTGGAGAAAGACGGCCGCTGGTGTGTTGGCCGACATCACTGATTTCCGACTCGGGAAAGCGGATGCAGAGTGCATCTGAGGCAGCCATACTGCATGATCTTGGAGGCCACTTCTGAACAGAGTGATAATAGTGAGTGATGCTACATCAACTTTGCAAAGTTACTTGTTTTGCTTGCGGCTAGACTAACAAGGTGCTGGGGAACAAGATTGCCGGCACTGGCAAAATGTGTGCACGGACCTGAGCCACAGTTCTTTGCGCGTCAGAGACGGTGCCCAGATTTGCTCCGATGGTCCGATGGCCAATCGACCCAGTTGCATCACTTCCTTCCAGAGGTTCCTCCAGAGGTAGCTGCTTTGCTGCCAGAGGCCATAGACCGATGTAAGACAGCGGTCGTTGGTTGGGTGAAGGAATCGTGGGCCCTTGGAAGAAATGGTTGTTGTTTAATGTCACGGCCATACGGGCCCCCCCAGAGGCGTGCTGTTTTTCATGTTTGTTGACAAACATGTTGATGTTCAGTTACACATGTGGGGAGAGGGGGGGCAAGTGACATTCGTGCAGGCTTGCTTCGGAATGTTCGGGCGGGTTCTGTGTTGTATGCAAATGGTGCAAAGGCATGGTCAGCCGCTGCAGCCAAGTACAGTACCCTTCCAAACGCTTGACCGTGAAACACGTCAAGCATGTGAAGAGTCAATGGGCGAAGCATGCCACAGTTAATTCGAAGAAGATGATTCATGGCACGCAGCAGCTGGATCGGCTGTTGTCTCGGATGAAGCAGTTCATCCCGCTGCAAAGCAAGACTCGATCCGAAGGATTGGTGAATGCCAGGCTGTGGAATAGAGTTTACCAGTGGATCTACCGCCGCAAAGAGCGGAAACCTTGAAAGCAGAAAACCAGATACGAGCACACTTCTTTCGGGAACATCGCAGCACAAAGTCTGCATTTCGTGTGGGCCTGCCCACACGAATACGGGGGGGCCTGAAAGGACGTGAAGCCTCGTTTAACCAGTGTTGTGGATCTCGACTCCGACGCGTTTTTGCCAACAATGACCTAAGGGTTCTGTAGACATGCAGTTTTGACAGGACTGTGCTTTTGTAGGCACGGCAGGTCCACTTAACACAGCCTCATCCCTATAACCTGCAGGCAGGGGGGATACAAAGCCAGGTCAGTCTTAAATGGTCTTTGAAGGCTAGGGGGGTCTGAGGCAAGTTCCGGAGCAGGCTCCGGGCAGCTGGGCATGAACCGCCTACTGGGCAACAGCAACATTGCAAATTCACCAGCAAATCTTGTGTGTTTGCTGGACGCTTGCTGACTTTATGCGTGTGAGCCTTTTCAATGTGCCATCATCACTCTTGGAAAAGCGCATGAGCCCACATATGCGCAAACATCACAACGTCGCAACGACCAGGGGAACCTGCTCCAGAACTGGCCTTGGAGCCTGCCAGCGCGACAGCGTGACCCGGCGTCAACATGGCGACATGTCGGCGTGACACCGTGCCAGCCTATCAGCGTGACAACATTTTAGCGTGTTTACTGGTGAGTCCACATGACAACCGTATGTGCAGTATATATATATATATAGAAACGCCACGCCAACATAACACCATGTCAGTACATCGGCGACCGTCTCAGCCTGAGCAAGTCAGCCTGACAGCGTGTCACCATGTCAGCGAACGCACCAGCGTGACAGCATGTTTGCAGCTGACTTAACATGACAAAGGGGCAACGCATTGTCGACGTGGCAGCGCAAATTATAGGAGCGTGGTAGCTTGGCGGCGCGCCAGCACGCCAGCGCGACAGCGTGCCAGCTTGATGACATCTCAGAACTACACACCCTGACAATGTCAGCAAAACATGATGTCAACGCACGTGTGTGGGTCAAAGCCCGGCTACCCTAGTTGACCCCTGAGAATGAACAGATTCCTCTATAAGGGGTGTCACCCTACCATGGTTTGGTTGGGAATGAAGAGGATCTATACTCGCTCACGCTCTTTTTCCACTTGAGCCAAAGTAACAAAGTGCATACCCGATTGACCTGGTTTCTGGTGTCGGGTCTTCGGTTAATGGACCTGTGGATCTGTGATATACATTGGATGATCCGTCCATTCCTGTGCTGACAGAAAGCTTTCAGCCTTGACAAAAAATGCATTGAAAGGGTTGCCAAATGCTACAGCCCAGCTCCCAAATTACTGGCCTTTACATATGGGATTCCACTGGCATAAGCTTAGGCGGAGTACTTGTGATCGTACTGATTCCTTGCAACGCTGTTCAGCATACACAGACATGCGTATATCACCCAGCACGGATGGAGCTTCACCCCCCCCATGCTGAATGGGTTGCGTTAAGAATTTCCACGAACCATCAGAACATCGAAAGCTGCGTTCCAGTGACCGTTGAGGCTTTGAAGTCTGGTCCAAAGAATTAGGGCCGGAATCTCGTGGATCTTGGGGGCAGGAAAAGTTGAAACGTTTGAAATCATTCCACCCGCATCTTCCCTTTATTCACCATGCAGCTGGGACAGACAGCGAAGTGTTCCATCAAAAGCGATTGCTTAAATTGACGCACACCGTTCACATCGGAGGCCGACCACCGTGGAGCTCCATGCCATCGATCGTACGTGCAAAGTCAATGCGTTCACAGCATTGAAGCCCCGCGATCACATGCTGCTGAAGCAAATTGGCGCAGCGCTCAAAAAACCCGTTCCAATCTCCAATCAGTCGGGTCTTCTCATTCACTGGTGACTATATCCATACGAGGAAGTGGCTTTCAGCCGTCGGATCGAACTCGAGGCATCTGATCGCTCGGAAGCATTGTGGGCCTCTCTGAAACATTGCTTTGCTCTGCCGAATTGGATACTCCAGAAGAAACTTCAGCTCTTGACCTGCTTGGACCTTCTTGCTCCAACAAAGCAGCGGCTACTGCGGCATCTTCTGCAAACTCATATGGACTCCGCTGTGCGGTTCTGGCGCCGGTAGATCTTGGTAGGGCTCTCTTCCGATCTCCTGGAGACGAACCTGAAGGATCATGAGATGCCCTCCTTGCAGTACTTCGCCCCGTCTCTAGACTCTAGATCGAGATCGCTTGGACATGGCTACCGTTGGATGAAACACGATTGTGATCGAACCTTCAACATTGTTGAAATCGAACTGTGCAAAAACTGAAATGTGATCTACCATTGAAATGGCAAATTGCTAAAGTGATACACATTCGGCCGAAATTCTTGAAAATTCTTGAAACATCTTGAAACATGAGATCTCAACGTCATGACAATTTTGACCCACCTCGGTTGACATGGTGGTGACCATCAAAGATTGTCTCTGGAAAATTGCGATTCTGCTGAATCAAATCTGCAACTCCGTCTGCAAAGCCGTCGTCCTACTATGCGCAAACCTTTGACACCTTTCCTTTGGAAACGCGCGAAAGCACATCTGGTCATGACAACCTGTCACGATCCCTTGGATCACATCGCATTCCATGCGACGCAACAGAAAACCATACACGGCTAACCTGTCTTTCACTTGAGCCTCGACATCTTCAAGGTTCACGCGAACTGTACACATAATTTGCAAACTTAGGCAAACTGCACCTAGTCTTGGTTGTCCCTTGTTACCAACCAATCGGCTCTCAAACCTTTGGCAACTCCCATTTGCCTTTTCGCCAACGTCAAACTGACCATGTAATGCTTTGCAAGCGATCATTCCTCTGTCGAACAACCTGCCCTTTTTCATGCTCAAGGCTCTACATCGACTGATCGCATGCCTCTGCGCCCTCAAACCTGAACTACCTCTTCACGACTTTTGTGGCTGCTCGGTTTGACGTGTCAACATCTTGTTCACTTTCTGAAACGACCCTTTCCTTCAACGAACAAGCGCGCGAACATTTGATCGAACTCTCCACGACCAATCTGTCTTCCCTGGGCTGGCCTCAACGTCCATGCGCGAACAAGTGGTTGGGGCTGGCAGGACAAACTTCAGGCGTCATGTGTTCGATCTTACTTGAAAAGCTGGCTGGGGTCACACGATCCGTCCAAACCAACAGTTTCCTTGTTCCTGAAGCTGCGCTGACAAGGTCAAACAATTGAACGTGTGCGCTTTTTTGCAACTCGAAACAATGAGATCTACCCCATTGTCTTTGTTCACACGTCTGTTGAACTGCCGAATGCTCAAACACATGTAATGCTTTCTGCTCCAACGCCTTCTGAAACATATGCTTGCAACGCGATCGGCTTTTCCTATCATACCTATCAACGTCCTACCGTTGCCAAGCTTGTCTGCACCTTGCAACAATCTAGTCATGCCTACCAAACTGAATACTTGATGTTGCAAATCTTGGAAACGCTGACGTTCAAGGCTCTTCGTCTCCCTGCCTTGCCAACGTTGAACGTACAATGCGTTGTGTCTGACAACCTGTTCCTGAGTCCCTAGGTAATCATCTCGCGTGACCTGCTTCGATCATGAGTCTGGACACAACCTTAGCGTTGCACTCCAACCATGAACATGTCAATCTTTCACCATTCTTCTGCCACGCGCGCGCTCCATCTTGAACTCGACAAACGCGCGCTGTGCACCCTTGCATCAATCGCTTCACTGCGCGGCTCCATGTAACATCTCTCATGTCTGGCTTCATGAACCTATTGTCCTGTCATTCTTATCTTGGTCTGCGCTCTGACTCACTCTGACTCCTTGATTTTCCCCCTTGATCTATCTTACAGCTAGCAACCTCTAGCTCCCCAACAATTCCGGCATGCTCAATCCTAGGCTCAAATGTAACGTCCATGCGCAACTCTGCTCATCCAAGATCATCTTGAAAGCTCGCGCAGGAAACTCTACAATCGCCTGTTTTTGACGCACGGTGCATCTGAAACTGCAATGTTGCTGCGTGCTGATCTGAAAGCTATCAGCCGTACAGCGTCGAAAGCGCTGCTAAAATAGCTCAATTGCTACAGCTCGGCCTTTGGTTCTCTGGTCTCTGGCCTTTACATACGGAGTTTCCACTGAGGTCAACTCTGAGTCAACTCTGGCAGAGTACTTGTACTGTAGCAACACTCTTCAGCGTACGCCGAAGCGTACATCATCCAACACGGATGGAGCTTCGCGCCCAGGGATCTCGGGTGATTACATAATCGGCCTCTCGTTTCTGGCGTCGGTCTTCTGGTTCATGGATCTGTCGGTCTCTTGATCTCTGCAACTGGTTGGTCTGGATCGCTCCACCGACCCACGGGTAGCGCGAATCGATCGAATCGAACCTCGTGGCATGAAGAGCCACTGTACTCGCTCACGCCCTTCATCCACTTGCGATCGAAAACCAGAACCTCTGACCATTGTTTCTGGCTTCTGGCTCCATTTCTGGTATGCACGCTCTTGGCTCTCTGTGCAGATCACATGGCAAGCATGGTGCTGTGCTATTCTGTTTAAACATGCGACTGAATAGAAACGGTGGCGATTTAATGTGTCCGGTTGTTGAGAAGTGCAGTATGGATCAACGTACGGAAACTTGGGGTCACGACCCCAACGAACGAAGTGAGACGTCCTCCGTCACTGATCTCCGACCACTGATCATCGTCGTACCAACTTTCATCCCAGCCTTCATCATAGTCAGACCAATAGTCGGATGGTTCAGAGAATCCTGCTGCTCGCTGCTGGCCTTTCTTAGTCTTGGATTTCCCCTTGCCTTTGTTCTACTTCTTTAGGTCGGGTGGTCCACTTGTCATGTGGTGGAACTGGATTGGCAGGGATCCACTTCTCAGAACGTCTGAAACGATTTCTGTCCTCATTTCCACGGAAAACTTCAACTGTGCTTTGCGTGACTGCTGCAGCCCGGCTGGAGGACTATTGGTGTTTGTCGAACCTACACTAGCAGCGCTAGCAAAAGGCAAAAGGATTCTCTTCTGTGGAAGAAGCTGGTTGTGCATTCGGCCATGGATCATAAAGGTTCTAGGAACATGGTTGTTGAGTGGAGGCTCCATGAAACATGGCCGTCGCATCTTCACTCTCAAGCTTTAAGGTTCCCTCGTGCCATGGGCTGGTCGTTGGTCCTTTGGGTGGTTTGGGGGGCAGCTTTTGATCACTCGCCCTGTGGTGTGGTGGTTCAGTTTGAGAGGGCCTGACCCTACTGTTCTTGAACGAGCTGTGGCTCGGGCAGTCTCTGAGACCCTCAAGTTTTGTGTTGAGGGAGAGCCATCACTGACTTCGACCACAAGCCCCCCAGCGTTTGGTCTTGGTGCCGTCTCTAGTGCTGAGTGGGGTCTGGTTTGGCATTAGTGTGTTCACTTTGTCAGTATTGGGCTGTGAGAAGACATGCTCACCAATCGATTGGCCCTCCTTGAGTACGACGTGGGGAGGCCAGTCGTGATACACGAAAGGCTGCTCCTTGACCATGTCCGGGGGGACGAGTATGTCATTTGCACTCCAGATCGAGATATATACACAGAGCTGTTGATATCGCCAGAGAACCCTGACCTTCGCAGTTTTCGACTTCGTCCGGCTCCCAATCAGCTGCTTCCAGGTGTTGCTGCGGCTCAGGTCTACGGCGACGGCTTGCCAGGTTGGACGCCTGCCCAGTTGGCGAGCATTCGTGATGAGGCTCGTCGGCTTGCAGAGGCTGAGCGGGGGCGAGCAGGGGGGGGTGGAGGAAATGCTGGAGCGGGAGGAGCGCTGCCAGTAGCACCACCCGCTGCCACCTTCGCTAGTGGTCAGAGCTCAGACGATGAGAAAGGCCCTGGAGCTTCCAATCTGACTCCAGCAATTCCAACGTGGGTTGCCGCTGAAGCCTTAGATGGTATTCGGTATGGGCAGCCCATTGACGGGGTGACAGCTGCACCAGTGAAAGATGCCAAGACAGTTCACACAGTAGCTGATGGGCGAGCCTTGTTTTGCATGTGCATTGGTGTCAACACGGGTTGCCTTGAATTTAACAATCGAGCTGCTTTGCGTGATGGGAGGATTGTTCCTAGGAGGCTGAACTCATTGGGCTCACCTGAATTGCCACTTGGGGAGATTGCTGCATTGGCCAAGGAGTTCGACATGGGTTGGCAGTTGAAAGGGCCGAGAACGGCCCAATGGTGTATGAACTATTTGACAATCGAGGGTTTGGGGCTGGAGCAGCATCACGAGCGCTTCAGACAGATCTGTCGACTGGACGCAGGTTCACGGGCTGTGCAAGAGCATTTTCAACTGTCAGTCATGCTCCGCAATTTGTTGCAGGTTGATGGAATCAATGGATGCAATTCAATGGGCATTGAGCTTATGTTCAGACGCTTGCAAACCAGAGAGTATAGTCACTCTGAGAAGGCTCGTGAAGCTGAGAGTAGGAGTAGGCTTGCTGGTGGTAAGCTTGCGTTGGAAGAACAATATGTTTTTGGCTCCGTTGTGGGGCGTGCTGGAACTCTCATGATCTCTCCTGCTTTGCTGTCGCGCGTGAAGGAGGAGACAGAGCGTGAGGTCCTGCTGGCGAAGAATCTTCGCAAGGCAAGGGAGGAAAGGGAGCGCGCATCGAAGACAAAGAAGAAGCCGAACAAGGAGGAGAACCCTTATAGTATAAGCCTTATAGAGCATAGCGCTGCCTTCCGGAGGGGGCCGACCGGTGGGCGCGTGCGCATTGGCCCTGAATTTGATTCTGCAGAGCGGTCCGTTCCAAGGAGCATTTTCCTTTGCCTTCTTCTATGCCACGGGCCTGGATGAAAGGCCATTGCTGCCGAAAAGTGCAGAGGAGGCTTGAGAGACAGGTTCATATGGATGAGGACATTGAGGAATGCGTTAGGTGTTTGAATGCCTTGTGCAGTGGTGATAAGGTTGGTGCTGCGAAGTCGACATCGACATGGTCATCTGCTCAGAAGGCTGCCTTGCAACGTGTTGAGAATTCAGTCAAGCAGTTGGGCCCCCCCTCCTGGGGACCGGCGAAGGGGCGCTACGGCAGCTCCACGCTTTTGACGGGTATGGGCAAGACCAGGCCCCTTGCTCGGTGAAGCCCTACGTTCCAGAGCTCCTGTCTTTGCCCTCTTGTGGAAGTGTAGCAGTGCCACTTGAGTCTTTGATTGGTGAGTCTGGAGGTGCAGTTGTGGGTGATTTCATTCATTCGCGTCTTTTGCATGAAGATGAAGCTCGCTGAACGTATTGGTGCCAACTTTGAACGCTGTTTGGTCTGAGGGACGGAATTCCAGAGGGCGGGGCAAAGATGGGCCACGTTTGGGTTTTAGGCTTCTTTTGGTTTTTCTGACTGCTGATTGAGCTGATGCAAATATACCGGAAGGTTGTCACTTGTTGGCGTGACACGGATGCTGACGTTGGTGGCGCACAGATCCTCTCCCATTGCAGAAGTTGAGACGTTCAGCTGGCTGGTGGGAAAAGAGCCCCCGAGCGGTGCGTGAAGGTTCTTGGAACATGGTTGTTGAGTGGAGGCTCCATGAAACATGGCCGTCGCATCTTCACTCTCAAGCTTTCCCACCACAGGCTCTTCGATCTATTCCCTCTCTTTGCACGGGGGCTACTCTTCTCGGGAAGGTTGTCACTTGTTTGCGCGATACGGATGCTGACGTTGGTGGCGCACAGATCCTCTCCCATTGCAGAAGTTGAGACATTCAGCTGGCCGTTGGGAAAAGAGCCCCGAGCGGTGCATTCTGTTGCAAAGGGTCAAACGAAGCAAATGTCCCGTTCTCTGGCATTGGGGCAAACAGTGCTTGTCCAGGCAAATCTAAACCGCTAGATGTTGGTGCAGGTGCCAACAAACCATAGGCTTCAGCTAGGCCTTGGATCCTCTGCTCCAGAAGCTGATCCTCACTCACTGCCGTCCCAGTCTGACCAGAAGGCATAGAAGGATCTGCTCCAGGATAGCTCCGCTACCATGAAGGGCATCTATACTTGCTCACGCCCTTTTTCCACTAGAGCCAACATAACGAAGTGCATACCCGATTGACCTGGTTTCTGGTGTCAGGTCTTCGGTTAATGGACCTGTAGATCTGTGATATGCATGGGATGATCCGTCCCATTCCTGTCCTGACTGAAAGCTATCAGCCTTGACAAACATTGCATTGAAAGCGCTGCCAAAAGCAGCTCAAATGCTACAGCTCAGGTCCCAAATTTCTGGCCTTTACATATGGGATTCCACTGGGGTAAACTCTGGCGGAGGACTTGTGATCGTATTGATTCCATGCAACAGTGTTCAACATAGATAGATAGCGTTTCTCATCCAGCACGGATGGAGCTTCACAGGGAAGGTTTTGACTCACAGCCGCATCGAATAAAGTAATGTTCAGCAACTACTCTGCGTTCAGCAACTAGGTTTCAGAAACTATTTAGTCGGTTTCACCGTTCGGCAACTGCGGTTCACCAACTGGATTTTTCGGTTTCAGCAAATGGTTTTGTCGGCTTCAGCAACTGGTTTTTGTCGGTTTCAGAGACTGTCCTTGTCGTTTTGCAATGGATATTGGGGTGGGTGGGGGGGGGAGGTGGGGTCAGGGATAATGACGTCCGCGGCGCATGCTACGCAAACATAGCTCTTGCTACGTTCCCAGTTGCCGAAACCCATGCTTGCAGTTGTGCCGAAACCCATGTTCCAGTTGCCGAAACCAACGTTCTTAGTTTCCGAAACTAACTTTTCAGTTTCCGAAACCCACGTTCCTAGTTGCCGAACCACAATTTCCGAACATATTTGACGAGTTGCCGAAACCCACCTTTCCAGTTTCCGAAACCCAGTTTCCGAAACCCACGTTTGTCTTTCTGAACCACAGTTTCCGAAACCCACGTTTTTTTGTTTTCCGAAACCAACCTTTTAGTTTCCAAACGCCACGCCGACCCAGCCGCATCAGCAAAATTGTTGCAAAGCTTGCTCAGAAACTCCGGAACATCGTTGAATCTTGAAATGCCCCACAACCTCCTCTGGAATTTGTAACGGACTGTTGGGGATTTTTGGGATTTTTCCTGGGCCAATTTGATGGATTTCATTTCTTCTTTGGAAAGGCCCAACAACACCGGCAACGGAGGCGCTTCGGGAGAGGCCGGCAGGTGACTGGGAGGGGAACAACGCACCTTGGCGGTCTCGTTTTAGTTAGGAATAAAGCGATCCTTGGAATCAAGAGTTGCTCCACTGCTATATCGAAATTGCGATGGGCTGACAGATGTTCAGTTGGTCTGAAGGAAATTTCGAAACCTTCGGCAGTAGAAAGTTGAAGAAAGGGACCGAGTGAGGCATTGTTGCTGGTTAGGATCTCCGTTTCAAGATAACCATTTTCTTCAAAGCATGCCTTTCTATGACTCTGGGTGACCAAACAATACCTAACCTATGTAATGCTTGTAAACGACCTGGAGGTATGTAATTGTTCTTTAATCCCCCATATGTGGAGTCAAACTCCATACGACCCATATGACAACGCACATGAATTATTTTTGTTTTCAGGCGCGGAGAGCGCCTTCCTTGGCACAGCCGGAGACTGGAGGACTGCGAGATTCTGTGACTAAGTTGGCGCACTTTTTTTTTCAGAGATGCCAAAGGAATAGATTCAAAACATTTAGAACTATGTAGGACAATAAGCAGTAGGCAAAACACCATCTAAAATCAACTTGGGTAGCTGTCTTGAGTTCCTTTGAGAGGCCCGGGGCTGGTGTGAAGTCAGAGCTGGAGCCTCAGGATTGTCTCCTTTCTTGAAGCCCTTGCTTGCTGTCTAGATTTTCCAATTCCAACGGACTGTCCGCGCTTCGTCTGCATTGACTAGTATGCCATGGACAATCCACAGGTAAATAAATTGCACATCTCCTTTCCCAGCAGACATGCACACCTCTTTCTCCACAACAGCATCCAATTTCCAAGCTTGTTTGAGGCCTGCCCCCATCTCCAAGGAAGACCTGTCCCTGCAAAGCTTCAGTGGCAGTGAAAAAGTTTGCAACATGATAGTCTGCTTCCAAGGAACAGGGAGGCATAAACAAGAAGCTACTAGGGGCTCCTGGCCTTACTACTAGGAGCAAGGACGCCGCCTAGGGGCTCCATAAACAAGAACACCTCAAAGGATGATCCAAGATGTTTGGGCTCACAGGAGGGCAGCAAAGTCATGAGCCACAAGTGCTTGATGCAAGACAGCTTACTCATCATACTCATCCATTTTTCTCTGTTGAGGGTTGGCACAATGTTCGCTTTAGAATGCTAGGAAGTTGGGCTGGGGTGGCATTTGACCACCCAGGAAGCAAAGATTCAGACTTGATAGTTGCTAACATCAACACCTTGGAACGATTTGACAGTACAAATTGTAGCCTCGTGTACTTGTCCAAACCTGAAAACCAGTCATCTGACAACTTGCAATTGTCGACACCTCAACTGCTTTTGCAGACAAGCACAGCCGCATACCTTTGGACTGTCCCCTTCCCTTTCATCTGTCAAAAAAGAAAGAGAAAGAACACGATAAAAAAAAACAGACAGACAGACAGACAGACAGGAAGGAAGGAAGGAAGGAAAGAAAGAAAGCAAGGAAAAGAACAGAACAGACCAGAAAAACGAACTGCTCATATTCCAAGGGCAAGTGTGAGGAAAAGGTGAAGGAGTTGCCTCATGGCAGAGAAAAAGTCTCGATGGGGGAGGCGAGCTAATCATGCTTTAAACTTTTCTTTTCTCGTCGTTTGGGCAGCATGTTCTACCCAAGTCGCAGCGAAGCTCAAGCATGAATCTTCTTAGAATGTTTGTGCTTGCATCGTCGAAGGAAAGAGAAAAAGGCCGAAGCCGTGCCATCCTTGGCGCAAAAGAACAGATCCTGTCAGACTTCGACGCCAGACTGCACCTGCTCCGAGGTCCCTGTTTTGGAGGTGAGGCATCGCGAGTTTGAGATCCCCAACGCTATCGCCATCTTGTGACTGGTCAGCAGGACGAAACCGTGGCACTTGTGGCTTGCAGCGGAGCTGAGGTTGGAAAACTATTTCACCGTCGAAGAATGTGACAGATATTTAAAGGCTCTGTTTGTGTTTGGAACTTTCATGATCTTTCATGTTGGACAACCAATGTCAACGACGTGTTGCCTTGCTTATTTCCAGCATATTCTGTGATGTTCTGTAGAACATCAATATCTTGTTGGAGCTTTGTTTGTTCGGCAGATTCTGACCACAGAGATCGGCTGGAAGAACCAGCTGGTCACGGTGAAGAGTGCGGACCTCGTTCGCCGCGGCGAAGCGAAGGACACGGCGGACCCTGCATCCGAGGTCGTGACAGCGGCGCCGAGGTGGCGACCGTGGATGAGCCACGACGGACCCTCTTCATGTCAGATCCAGGCGATCGATCCGGTTGAAATAGTTCAATTGGGTCCCTTAAGATGGCGTGTGTGTGTTTTTTTTGGCGCGTCTGGAAGTAGGCGCCTGCGTTTTTCTTTGTGACCTTGTTTCGAGTTTTTGGGGATGAATCGGGACGGCATTCAATATGGATGTGGGTCAAACGGCGTTGTCACACGGCAGCGCCGCAGTTTGGCCAGCCGCTTAGTTTCTTTGAATATTCTTCTGGTTGGCTGGATTTTGTGGTATATAGAAGGGATCAGTTGCTTACTTTTCAGATCAACTCGTCTTTTTCGGCACTGCTGCCCTCGCCGAAAAGCCACCGCTCACCACGAGAGAGGCATTTGCTACGAGTACTCTGGGCGAGAGAACATGGGACAGACGTGGCACCCCGCAGTGCTCGAGATCAAGCGCAAGGCTTGCAGAGATGAGACTTGGGAGTGAGCAAAGCGTTTGAGGCTCTTTGGTCATCAGCTAGCCTAGCCGCCTAGCCATTAGCAGTCATGCAACGTGCTGCACAAAAAGCACTTGTGAGGCAGAGGAGGGCCTAGTCAAATGCGGATTGCCAGAGGCCATTGCTAGCGCATGCGTCATAGGCTGAATGGTAGAATCCTATGGATCTATATAATGGACACAGAGATTGCCTGGTTGTGTCAACACAACTGCTGGCTGGCCCAAGCTTGCCTCAGCTCTTGCAGCCTTAAGCTTGCAACGTTGGCGTTCGTGTCCTTCAGCGATGGCGCTTCCCATGAAGAAGTCGGTGATGAAGTCCGCCATGAAGTCTATGAAGAAGGCTGCTAAGTCAACAGCTATGAAGACCAAAGTCATGAAGAAGAAGGCTGTGAGCAAGATTGCGCGAGGCAAGCTGGCCAAAGCTGTGGTCTTTAATGGCAACAAGGAAAAGACTGCATCAGGGCATGGCAAATCGGATCTCATGAAGAACAAACGAGGCAAGATTGTGACGAAGTTGCAGAATGCCGCTGGCAAGAAGGCCTACAAGAACATCTCTGCCTGGACCATCGCTTGTCAGAAGGCCAGGAAGGAGCTGGGCATCAAGGGCTTCTGTGCTGTGGGTGGAAAGACAGCACAGGGCAAGGCACTCTACGCCAAGGCCAAAGCGATCTTTGCTGCATGAGATTCCAAAGTGAGGTCTAGCTTGCGTGGTAGTTCACGGAGCAAATGACCTGCTCATGATGCAGTTGTTGCTTGCGCTGAGATGTATAGGTTTTGGTGCGCTCTGACCGAACAGCAGAAACTGCAGACAGACCCCGTTTGCAGCATAGAAAGAAGCGCTGTCTGCCCGTCTGCCCTTTGCGTGCTTGTACGTATCTCGCAAAGTAGTATATATTGCTTTGCAAAATCAAGTGTAATGCTGGATATGCTTGTACTTGCGTTTCCCAACTTGCGCATCCGCTTGATTTCCAAATAATTACATTGCAACTTACCTACAATCACATGAACCTGACATGGCGTTTGCAGGTCATTTTTAACTCAGCGCAGATGAACCGCTACGACTTTCCACGGCACACGCAGCGGTCCCAACGCTGAAACTGCCAGGTTCGTAGCGTCCTGGTTACTACTGTAGTAGTAAGGCCAGGAGCTACTAGTAGCGTCCTTGCTCCTAGTAGAAATGCCCTTTGCTACTCATAGCTTCTTGTTACGAATAGCGATGGCCTCCACCTAATTGCAGTGGCTTCCAACCTGATAGCGATGGCCTCCAACCACGAGAGCCCTAGGCTGGGAATGCATGCAGATAACGAACCTGATTTGGACCGAGATGCGCCCATCGTGTCGGTGGAGGCCTCATTTGTGTCGAGGCGATCATATGAGTGAAATGGCTTCCAGATTGAATCATGCTGGACATGTCGGACATGGTATATGCTCCTCCAAAAGACAGCCCAGGAGCTTTCAGGCCGCAAACAGGTTGAGAAACCCGAACTGGGTTTGCATGTAGATTGAGAAGCTAGGTAGATCTCATGTGAAATCCCAGTCGTTTTCAGGGACAAAGCAAGCGCCTTTGGATTGGCGGAATCCACTTACTCGGGTGGCACCGGCGTGGGCCCTTTTTGGGGCACGAGGTCAGCTTTGGAGCCACCAGGGACTTTGTCATCCAGGTCATGCTGCCTGCGAAGCTTCAGTACTTCTGACCGGTGGTAGCTACCTTCATTTATAGACTTACAAATTCAACTATACATATATCATATATACTGTAATACAAATGGGCAGCAGTTGTTCTATTCGTGGCTTGTCAAGATAAGAAAGGTGCTCCTCCTTTCTACCAAGACGAGTGTTTCTGATTCTACATACACCTGTCCTATCCTGATTTTTCCTAGCAGGACAGGGCCAATGAGTCACTGAAGTGGGTCGGTGGCCTCAAGAAAAGGACGGCAGAATGTTCATGAAAGTTCACAGAATCTTTAGGAAGATGCTCAATATTTGGCTTTGCATAATTTGTGATGATTCATGAATTCAAATATGTGTGAAGATTAAAGAGCTTTATGAACTTCCATGGTGTTGTGAAGTATCTTATTCCTTCACGTGTACCAGGTGCCCGGTCTTGTCCAACAATCGTAAAGCATGTTCCATGGTTTTGCAGATTTGCGCACCCAAATTATCGACATGCTGCATTTGCCCTGCGAGGGTTTGCCAAGCCAACACCTAGAGTTCTTCGCAGAGACATTTGGGTGTTGTTAGAACTTTCTTGATCTCCCCCTGGCTTTTTGACCTTCCCCTGGCTCAAAATGCTCTCGGCCCCCCGCTGCTTCAAAACTCACAGGTCGTCACGCTTGCCGACGGCGCGTGGTTTGTTATGGGCTACCTGGTGGCATTTAAATTCGATCATTGGTGCGTGTGTGTTTGGATTGCAGATGGTTGCCCAAGCTGAGGTGGGGCTATGCAGCAGCAGTACCTTCATGGGGTGTAGATTCCTCAGATACTTCATGTAAGAGATCTGGAATTGCTTTGGTTGAAGAAGCATGGAACGCCAAGTTCGAGAGCCTTCTTGAGCACCTTCTGTGGCGTTCTATTTTGTAACTATTCATGAAGCACAACTTAGGCCTCATGGTGGTATGGCTGGAACCCGCATCAACCTTACCTTTCGAGCTCAGGGCTCAGGCGGTTTCTTACGATCATGAAGACGGCCATGTAGAATCCGTGCTGGCCCTTCGCTGCTGCATCAAATCTACCAGTACTGGAAAGATGTATATGGGCGGAGTGAGCAATTTCATGCAGGATTCCGACAGATGTGTATGGCTGCTTCCTTCTCTTTTGCCTACCCCATGTTACCCCTTTGATCGCCCTAGTCTGGTTCGAAAAACCTTCGAAGCTTTCGTGCCGAGCATTTGTGGCCGAGGTGTGCCGACCTAGAGCTGATCTCCCTCGCAGGCGCCGTGGGCGAACGAAGAAGAACGAGCACGGCGACAGGGCCATTGGGGCAGGGTTGGTGCATTTTTTGGGGGCTCTACAGGCATCACCAGGGACAGCAGTGAAGACCTTTTCATAATTCTTCATATACATCTACCGCACACCTATACCATTTTTGGAGGTGCACGTGCATTAAGCGAATTGGTGGAATGACCAAGCAGGATTTATAGTATTTCAATTTCAATACATACTGGTATGCATTTCATTGCATTTCACCGTCTTTTTCGATAGAAGAGCACAACTTGTCAATTCAGCAGAGTTTCTCTTGTGCAATGGATGTGGAAGCTTCCCATCTAGAGATCAATCCTGTTTCCCGAAGCGACTCCGTGCAAGCGGTCCTGCGTTGGCATGAGCAAGGCCAGAAACGTTTGTCCATAGGCCTGGAGTTGGAACCTTCGATGGCATCCACCAAGCATTTTCGCTGAGCTTGTTCAGATTTGTCAATTTCACCTTATTTGTTTCGTATTGGATTTTGGTCCGCAAAGCCCTCAGAGTAGGTCTTTTGAACGCCTGGCACCTTTTTGAAACCCGTTTGTAGTGAAATTTCACTCCTATCCAAACCAGACCAGGAATGTTTCCTGCCAGACCTGGGCGCCTTGGTCTGCGATCGGCTTCTACCCATTGAAGACCCGCAAGAGCTCTTCGCCCTCGTGGCCCACGCCCTCTCCGAGCGGCTCAGTGGCCGCTGCCGCGTGTCGGCCGACAGCCAGTCGGACTGGGGCCGCCTGTGGACCGCTACAGCGGACGGCTCCATCGTGCCAGAGGGGAAGAATCCATTCCCGGTGGAGCTGGTCTCCAAGAGGATGGGCTTTGAGGAATTGGATGTGACACTGTTTTGTGATATGACCCATGCACTGCGGCAGCCACCCATCAAGGCTCAAACCAATGAATCTACTGGCTTGCATGTCCACATCGGTCGCTATCCTGGCTTCTTCTCTGTTGAGGAGGGTTTAGCTTCGGTTCCGAACTCCGATTTCTTGCTGAAAGGTATTATCATGTATTATCTGATCAAAAGGCATGTTCTTGCATACATGCACGGCTGAAGTTGAGAGAACTTTACCTACTGCTAAATCGCACTTTCCAACATGCTATATATACATTTGATACGTTTCTGCCGTTGGCTATTGCTACAAGTTAAAAGGAATTCCATCAATCCGGATCTCCTAGGTGTCTGTGGGCATGCCATGATTTTCGCTCAGAAAGACAATTGTTGCCATTTGGTCGGTTCTGTTTCTTTTGAATTGAATGGTTCGACTCGATGTTGGGTGCTGGAGGAAGTTGGAGCAATTCTCAAAGTCTATTTGCGCTTTGAACCCGCAATCAACAAGCTTCTTCTTCCGGTCACTAGGCAGCGCAACCGATTCTGCCGGGACTTTCGAGAAGTGCTGGGACGTGCGCAAGGTCTCGGGGAATGCGCTTCAGACGAGCAGCTTTTCTCGGTCATTGATTCTGCAGTAGCTGCCATCAAGGGCATGAGCCCAGAGATTCGAGCTGCCTGCATCAATGGCTGTCGAATCACTACCACGAAGGAGGCCTTGATGCTCGCGTTGCTGGGGGAAGCTGGACTTTGGCGCTTAAAGAGGCCAATCTTAACATCAGATGCGAATGGGCAACAGCTGCTGCTGCCAGCAGGAATGGCCCTGAAAGAGCTCTTTTCCACAGATGGTCGTCGCCTTTGGAGACCTCCAACATCTCAAGAGCTTCAAGCCTTGTGGGGCAAAGACGGTGAGGGTGGCCCAAAGGCTGGTTCAAGTGCTGAAGAGAGCTTGGCTGACCCACCAACACCGTGGACTGCACTGGAAGAGACTTGGAGAGTGAAAGGGAGAGACATCATTTGCTGAAAGGGAAACTTCATTTGGGAAGCCTGAGCACCTGACACAGGTTAGTTCTTTTCCCCGATGGCATCAACATAGAGATTGTTATGCTTATTTTTTTGTCCCCTGTCCCTGTTCCCTTGAAGAAGAGGTGCGCAATTTTCGTCGCAGGCACTGGATGACCAGGCGCGGCTCCAGTGCATCTTTCAGAAACCGGATGAGATTCCAGCGGCGAGTGTCGATCACTGGTTGCTCCGAGATGCCTTGATTCTTGAGCGACATGGCACCCGCTACTGCAAGCTGAACATCATGCGCATTGCTCAAAGCAGCGACCGTGCCACCATTGAGTTTCGACAATTTCCAGGTGGCGACTTTAATCAACCGCTCTTGATTTGGGGATGGGTGAAGTTCCTGGGGCTCTTAGTGACTCATGCCTGTGCTTGTGTAGATGGAGTCACCGATCTTCCATCCGAAGGCTCAGAGGAAGAGCTGAAGCGGTTTTTGAGACTACGTTCTGACTCCCTTTTGTTGGCCTGGTTCCGGGATGTGCGAAATCGCCTGCCTAAGCCGGAGATCGCTTTGCAGAAGATGAAAGACCGTTGGGAGAGACTTTGGCACCAGTGGGCCCACGAAGCGGAACAGATCGAATCCAAATTCGAGCCGCGCTTTTCACAATTGCTTTGCACTTGTAAAGCCTGGAGGCGTATCTTTCAAGCAGCCTCCGGCATGAAAGCCGTCTTTGCGCCAAGTGATCCTGTGTGGAACCAATTGACGCAGAGACGTGCAAGCTGTGAACGATTTATGCAAGAGCTGTACAAGGCCATAGCTTCCAGACTGAAGCATCACATCAAACTCCTGGTTTCTGCAGAGGAGATCAGTCGTACATGTTCTCTTGACACTGTAGTTGAGGCCGTTTTGAAGGATGGGCGCTTAAGACAGAGCAACGCCGAAATTCGAGATTTGCAAGCCGCTGTGACAGAGACTTTGGGATGGGAGGCTTGTCCAAGCAGCTTGACCTCGATCGTTTCAGACTTGGGGAAAAGGGGAGCAGATCTCACCTTGGACTATGCCAGCAACTTGCTTTTGCAACTTGAGAGATCTTCAGCCTGGCCCCCAAACACCACCCGCACCACCATCGACGACGCTGCCGCGCGGGGCAGCCTGGAGGACGGTCGGCTGGAACGATGGAAAGCCGAGCCAGAGCAGGCAGAGCGATTGCCTCGACTGTGGCGAACTTATCATGAGCTTTGTGTTTGGCTTCTCTTGCCACGGGTAGATGAAGTGGTTCATCTCTGGGCTGGCCTCGCTCGTCGCGGATGGGAACCAGAGCGTGTGAGGCGTCTTTGGCCTCGCATTTCGGGCTTTGGAGATGCGGCTGTGAGGGAGATAGTGCCATCGTGGTTTGCTCGGCATCGGGCAAAAAGGAGCGTCATTCGCCTAGATGTTTCAAGAGTCAGAGAATCTGCTCATCAAAGCCCTGCCTACTCATCAAAGACTTGGACAGAGTGACTGACTTAAAACCTAACTTCAGTATACAGTAAAATAGACTTAAAACATCTTAAAACCTAACTTTAAACTTTAGTATACTTCAGTGCTTGAAAGGTGCTGCTTAAGCCAAGACATTCGCCATCATTTTTGACCGGGAGCTGAGCAGTTGATCTATAGAATCGACCTTTTTTTCACCTTTGGGGATGAGTTTGGGCGAACACACCACAACAGCGAACGGGTCCGACATCGGCACAGGCCGGTGAAAATGGAGGCGGCAGCGGAGGGGAGGTGCAGCGATTGAAAGCCGAAGAAAACAGTGCAGAGCGGGAGTCCTTCGGACCGAAAGCGGTGCCCCATGTTCCTGAACAGGCCTGAACAGGTTAAAGGGCATCGCTACGAACGGAGCAAGGAAGCTACTAGGGGCTCCTGGCCTTACTACTAGTAACAAGGACGCTACTAGGAGCAAGGGGCATCGCTACTAGGAGCAAGGACGCTACTGGGAGCTTTTTCGATGTGCTTGGCTCACAGCAGAAAGTAAGACCTAGACAGTCCTCTCAAGAGGTTGTGCTTTGCTACTGTATCGAGGAAAATTCGACTTGAGACGAAGCCATGCAGATCTTCGTGAAGACCTTGACCGGCAAGACCATCACCCTGGATGTCGAGGCCAGTGACACCATCGACAATGTCAAGGCCAAGATTCAGGACAAGGAGGGCATCCCTCCTGATCAGCAGAGGTTGATCTTTGCTGGCAAGCAGCTAGAGGACGGCCGCACCCTTTCCGACTACAACATCCAGAAGGAGTCCACTTTGCACTTGGTCTTGCGCTTGCGAGGAGGCATGCAGATCTTTGTCAAGACCTTGACCGGCAAGACCATCACCCTGGATGTCGAGGCCAGTGACACCATCGACAATGTCAAGGCCAAGATTCAGGACAAGGAGGGCATCCCTCCTGATCAGCAGCGTCTGATCTTTGCTGGCAAGCAGCTAGAGGACGGCCGCACCCTCTCTGACTACAACATCCAGAAGGAGTCCACTTTGCACTTGGTCTTGCGCTTGCGTTGAGCACGATTTGCTTTTCTTGGTTTGTGTGGTGCCAGGACAAACCAAGGAGTTTGTCCATTGTGGTTTTGTAAGCATTATTATGCTCATGGAAGTAGTGAATTGAGTGAGTTTTTTTTTTCTTTTCTGCTGCTGGCACCGATTTGAAGCCAAGAAGTGTCGAAGTTCTTTTTGGATCTCGCTTAATCTCAACTTCGCTCTAGCTTCATGAATATGTTTTTGTTTTAAAGACCTTTGAAGACATATCACTTATAACTTATAACTTATATCACATATTTGCTGTGTACTGGGAATCAAGTTGGGCTGTGAGTTCAGACGACCGTCACCTTCAGCTCTCTGATTCCATCGCACGAGGCTGCTGATGGTGATTTCAGAGGTTGCAGCAACTGTACAGATCTTGTGACTGTCATTCCTCCTCGGCTATCCTGACCTCAGGCGCGTTGAGTTGAGCAAAAAGGTTTTCCGCATAGGTGGTCTGCTTGTTTTTCTTGTTGGTTGTTGACTGTTTGTGGAGCCTGAGTGCTTTGATTGTCAAGTGGTCCTTTGCGCCTTTGTGCTGATAGACCACTGACTCAAATGTTGTGTTCTTTTATCATGTTGGACCACCATTGCATTGGCAATTTTCACGAGCTTGTTTGAGACTCTCAATCAAGACTTTCAACTTGACAAACAGAATGCTGCACAAATCGCAAGCACTTGGTGAGCAAGAACATCTCAATTCAATGATGATGGTGCAGTGATCAATGCCATGCCTGGCATCATTCTGTTTGCAGAACTGTTGTAGCCATGCGAACTATTCGGGTGGGTTTCTAAATATGTTTCTTCTACATTCAAGATCTTCACTGGCAGCATTTCTCCGGCAAGTGCTCGTTCGGAGTGGTACGTATGCCTTGCTGCAATGCCTGATTCTCAGCCTTGGAAGCATTCAGATGGAAAGCCTTGAGTGGCTGTGAAGAACAGGTGGCGTGCGCAGGGATATCGTTTGCCTCGAGGAACCTTCGAGGCGGGCCTGGGCACCGAAACTGTTGGTTTTCGGTTCACCGAACATGTGACATGACCCACCTACGTCTCTACTAATCAGGTCGTTGCCTTAGAATCAACGTGGGAGGGCACCTCCATTCATTTTTTCAGAGACATGCATTTTGCAGTGGTGGTGGTGGTTGCTGGTCAACCGGCTTTAACTTGACATCAACATAGCCTGACATAGGAGTCTTCTAGAGTGTTCCTTCTCGTGGCAGGCACTAAATTGCAGCTGCGACCAGGAATTTGCACTGGAGGTGGTAAACTTGATGCGAATCATAGAAACATGTGAACCAGTGAAGGAAGCACCGCTCAAAAAGGCAAGGACCTGGTAGGTTTGAACACAACTTTCCTTTTTGTGAACATCATGGAAAATCCCTTGTGCCAACGACTCAGTTATGTTGGAACTACAGTAGTCCAGCGCCTTGCCACAGCCGTGCCTTGGTATGTTGTGGCCAAGGTGGGAGGTGAACCACAGCAGTTTCAGCGGCTTTTGGCCTTGACCTTGGCTCTCGTGGCCGTCTTGTTTGCTGCACCCAGACAAGACAACAGGATGACCACAATATTCCATGAACACTTCAATCATTTTTTGACATATGATGAAATTGTTCTGAAGCGATTTGTCTGAGGACACAGGTCTGGCTGCATTTGCTCTTTTCTGGCACAAGTCCAGACTTTGTTACATGTTCGATTGACTTCGGATAGGGGATGCCATGCAGATCTTTGTGAAGAAGTGTCCTGGCCAGACCATCACCTTGGATGTCAAGGCCAGTGACACCATTGGCGATGTCAAGGCCCAAATCCAAAAGATGGAGGGTGTCCTTCCTCATCAGCAGCGGCTGATCTTTGATGGGAAGCAGTTGGAGGATGGACATATTTTGGCCGATTGCAACATCCAACAAGAGTCCACCCTCCACTGGGTTCTGCCTCTGCGCAGCGGCATGCAGATCTTTGCGAAGACTCTGACTGGCCGGACGATCACCCTCCATGTCGAGGCCAACGACACAGTTGACAATGTCAAGGCACAGGTCCAAGAGAAGGAAGGCATCCCACCCGAGCAGCAGAGGTGGATGTTCTCAGGGCAGGAGCTTGAGGATGGGCACACCTTGTCAGAGTACAAGATCCAAAAAAGAGTCTACCCTTCACTTTAGTCTCCCCTTTCGACCCTAAGTTCATTTGGCTTCGGACCAGTACTGAAGCCCATCATCACCGAGGGTGAAGAGACCGAACGAGGCGGAGAAAGGATCCGGTTCGTTTTCGTTATCTACTGCCAGTTGTCCAATGCCTTTCAGCTTTGCTCTTAGACTCTTAGACTCGGCAAAGGTGTGATAAGTTGCCTGAGTTGCCGTCTCACGATGGTTCCAAACCATTTGCCCATCTTGGCCAACAACATAAGTGAGTGTGATTGAGTGTGCATCAGTTCGTGTATGTAATGCATGTGCCAGAAGCCATCACTCTCCTGCATCAGTGCCTGTCTTTGATCGCCTGCGACACCTGTCAATTGCGAGACCTGAATACTGGGCAGCAGTACTGGGCTGAAGTACTGGGCAGCGAAGTACTGGGCTTCTGAAGCTTCTTTCCGCTTCATCTTTTCGCTTCGATCTCATCGACCCCACGGACGCACGGCGCACGACGTCGCCTGGACCCGTCGCCCCAAAAAAGCGGTGCGTCCGAAGACCTCCGGTCGGCGGTCGGCGGTCGGCGGCGGCGCTTCCGACTCGGCGGTGGGAAGATGCGGAGCCGAAGGCGACGGAATCCGGCAGAGGGTACAGTCGAACCACAGATATTGATCTTTATTTATCCCATCTCTCCCAACCCAGTTGGTATGATTAGAGCACATGTTTGTTCGCTCGTGATGCAAATATTCTCCAGTTTGACAAGCTGCCGTGCACTGGCTTCTTCTCGTGACTGACTCAATTCCATGCATTTGCAACACCTGGACATTTTCTCTTATATAGCATCATAGCACTGAATAAAGATTTAAAGAGCTCTCACAGATTGAAATTGCAATCTGGTGATGCAAAGGTTGGATGGCGGAATTTCCACCAATCCTATGCCCTATGCCGGCCGAGTCTGACTAAAGTGAAACGAGGTCTCCCATCATCCTTTTCTACGCCTGGCCTTCGCGCAATCCTCAGACTGAACATCCAAGCAGGTGAAAGATACCCAAATGTTCTGAGGCCCTTTACACATGCAAATTTGTGCTTGACGTACCAGTTCTTGATTGAGTATTGTTATTTGCTGTTTGGCTCAAAGCAAAGGAAAACCCAAAACAGTCCTCTCAAGAGGTTGTTCTTAGCTTTTGAAAGAAATTCGAATCAAGACACGTCATGCAGATCTTTGTCAAGACCTTGACCGGCAAGACTATCACCCTGGATGTTGAGGCCAGTGACACCATCGACAATGTCAAGGC